AGTTGCTTGTTTTTTATTCCAGTTTAGACCCTGTTATACACAATCCAGATGGCCTATTCATGTCATCTAAAAAGCTACTGCTCACAAACTAGCACTGGTGAAGTCAAATCGAACCTGAAGGATTGTTAAGGTTAAACAATAAATGAACATATTCAAAATAATAACCACACTAATATTAAGTTGTGCACAATATATAGCAACAACGTATTAAAAGGAACAAAGCATACGAGTCATTATTACTCAAAGTTTAAACCTATGTACTATTTTACTATGTAAGTGTAAACCAAAGAACCTTGTAGGACAGAAATAAATATATTTTTCTAAGCCAGTACATATTTAAAGACAGATGCTGGCCACAAAGCTGTGGAAAGCACTCAATGATATGAGTCTAATGAGGTTAGGGATGGGGCATTAGATATCAAACTCAACCCAAACCATCCCATTTAAATCAGAGGAAAGTCCCCTGCTTCCTGGGACTGATTTGCCTGGATGACTGAGCAAGGTGGAGCTGAAGCATCAGAACACATGGCCCATCGTTGGCCCGTCTGCGTCAACTGTGCTCTCATTGTTCAGGAGCGGGGAGACGACCTTACATTCTCCAGGAGCAGAAGGAAACTTTTTTTTTCCTGCTTTAAGAAAAGTGAGACAAGACTTCCTTTCCCAGAACAATTTATCTCTCTGCTTGACAAGACTCCCTGCTATATTTACCCAACTAAAATTGCAGATGATATACTTCCAGCTGCACTGCTCTCCAGCTCTTTGGCACATGGTCCTGTCCATCACATTAGTTACAACAGAACAGGAACGCCAGGGCAGTGAGACCCTCAGCCAGACGGCGAGAGGGACTGAGAAATATGGAAAGAAAGGAAATAAGAGAAGAAAGACAGAGGGGCTGAGAAACCTTGTGGGGACTAATTCATATTGCCTTTGCTGGTTGCTGGTTGGTGTTAGTTGTTAGAAGGAGCGGAGTTACACACCAGAGTGAATAGAATTACTGGGCTTTTATTAAGCAGACAGCTGGGCTGCTGCGAAGCCTCAAAGCAGCAACTAAACAGACCACCCACAAGACTCCCTGACAAAATATTGCTGTGTTTCTTTACGAGATCTATTAGGTTGGTATGCTGCTGCAAAAACAAAACAAATTGATCAGTCTGTCAGGCACAGAATTGAGCCCTACTGTGGTTATTTGATCTTCATGTTGTCTCTCATCAGGGCAGGGATGTAACATTTCAGAGACTGGGGGCACGGGGGATTTGGGCTTAAAGAAGCAACAAAGACTTTCAAACCACCTACTTCATGCAAATGCCCTAAAAAAGCTGAAAAAAATGCTGTATTTTTTGATTCGACTTCCATTCTATTCAAATACAATACAGTACAGTGTAAGAGAATGGGTTTAAGTGAGGGGAACAGAGGAGCACAGGCTTGTGGTGATTTAAGGGCTGTGGGGAAAGGGTTAAAGAGGGAGGAAAAATAAAAGAGGTGGGTAGATTCCTCCTCAGCCAGCAGTGCCTGTCCATCTCACAGCAGCACTGGCATTCCCTGGAGGGAGGCAGCAGCAGGGGGAGTGGGGGGGGCTCACACTGTGCAGCTTCATGTTTTGCATCTCAGCCATTGCTCACAACTTCTACAACTTGAGCTCCAGGGCTGTGGGAGCTGCCAGAGCTCTCATTGCAAAGGCATGACAACATGCAGGACTGTCCTCAGGCCAGCTTGGCTCTCTCATAAGAAGGGGGGCTGTCAGACACCACCACTGCATTTACACACTCAGGGACTCACAAATGATCAGGCACCACGCTGAGTGTTAGTGTGACTAGACTGGAGAAGGTCTAGGACAGGGGTCGGCAACAGGCGGACCGCGGACCTATAATCAATACATTAATAGGGGATTTCAATTTTGACGGGGCGATTCTATTTTAACCGCCGCCGACAAAGGGCGAAAGAGACGAGTGAGCGATACAGGGAGAGAAACACAGAAGAAGAGACGAGAGCGCGGCAGAGAGAAGAGGAGAGGAAAGTGAGTGAAGAGAATAATTAGCGATACAGGGAGAGAAGCGGAGAGGAGAGTGAACAGGCGTGTTAGCGGCAGACAGGGAGAGACAAATAATTACACATGGCGCTCTCCAAGAAGAGGAAAGTGGACAGTGAGAACAGAGCTTTTAACCCTGAGTGGACTCATTCATGTTCATCCTGCCCACTGGGAGCACAGAACCAGTGTGTCTCATTTGTTCAGAGACCGTGGCACTCATTAAAAGTGCCAAAACGCCACTATGAAACAAAACACAAAGTGTTTGACCAAACATTCCCTCTCAAGTCAGAACTGAGGTCACAAAAATAAGCAGTCTCAGAGCCCGATATGATCAGTCCACCAGGATCAAAAAAACTAAAACTAAATATGTTTCCAGCGCAGGCTAACCGAGGCTAACCAATGAGCACCTGCATGTGTGTATGAGAATGGCCCTGACACCATTTCAGCCCGGAATTTAAACTCCTGGCAGGACAAGCTCAAGCTCAATTCTCACACTGAATTAAAACAAAGTGAGTGAGGGACTGCAATATAAGAGGGAAAGAAAGAGAAACTTTAAAACTGTTCAATTGTTATATGTGTAAAGACTGATATTGTTCTATAATCGGCTGAAACAGTTAAGTCATGATGTGAAACGGTTGACAAATAAAAAGAGAAACTCAAGCTGCTGCTACACATTTTATTTTATTTATCTAAAATCAAGCACTTTTAAGATGCACATATTTTCAAAAGCTATTTTGTTTATTGTAGACTGTTAGGCCAAAATTGCGGTTAGCACGTAGGCTACAGCCACTTTGTCTTCAAAGTGCAGCGCGTTCGGTCCTTGTTTTTGGACAATCTGTTGATCTCGTATGAGCTTCCACGCCAATAGACGCACTCAGTTTACATTTGGACGGCGTGACGAGCGAGGTGAGGGAGGTGGGGTAGTTGTGAAAGACTATAATTTAGTCAAACGTTAAGGTTGTACTTCTTCGTCAGAGGACGTATCGTATATCCGTCCCCATAAGTAGATTTTGGTGGTTCGGTCAATCTCTTTTTAGGGGTACGTTGTCCAGGCCTTGTGGTGTTTATAGATTGAAACGTAATATTGATCACCACTAGTATAAGCTTGAGTCGGACATGAACAGTTGCAGACGTAATATATTCTTTCCTGTTATGTATGTTGGTTGATGAATAACAGTGAATTGTAAACTTGTATGTCTATATAAGTCGTTAATGACCCTATTACACATTCAGGAGAGACCGACCTACATTTTTATT